CAGAAGTTTCGGATTTGGGATCCGGTTCGGTGTCTACGGTGCCGGAAGGCTCTTGCACGGTTTGGGGTGACAGGTTTCTGATGACCTCCACAGTCTCAGCCTTAAGCAACAAATGAACCGTAAACCCCAAACCCCCAACCCCTAAACCCTCAAGCCCTAACGCCTACACCCTAAACCCCTAAACCCTAAATCCCTAAACCTCTAAACCCTGAATCCTAAACCCTACCCAGAGAGCCCAATACCCTTTAATTAAGGAATTTACCTTAAACTACAATATTAAGCCCCCTATAATTTAAGGTATATTCCTTAATGAAGGGTATTGGGCTCTCTGCGTAAACCGTAGAAGGACGGCGCCTCGTCGACGATCAGTGCCGCCCTGGGAGCTTGTGGAACTGCAGCGGCGTGGGAGGTCCGGGTCGCAGGGCTGTTCTTCTCCCTGGTTTAAGGTTAAACGGTTTAGGGTTTAGGTTTTAGGGTTTAGGGTTTAGGGTTTAGGTTTTAGGGTTTAGGGTTTAAGGGTGAGGGTGTAGGTTTTGCAGTTTAGGGTATAGTCTGTTAAAGGTCCCTTCATTGTAGTCCCTATCACACATTCCCCCATTACCTACTGAGAACCGGGGAGTGTTCGCGTTTGGAGGCTTTCAGGTTTGGAGGCTTCTTTCGGTTGCTGGGCTCTGTGTGGTCTTCCTTACTGTGTCTAGCACATTCTCTGGTGGACCCGCAGAAAGGCTTCTGCTATTGAGGGCAACAAAGCTTCAGGTTAACACAAGTCTAGGACATTCTCAGGTGGGTAGTTACCGTTATAGGAGCCTTATAGAAGGTCTAAATACCTTATAGAAGCCTTCTAGAAGCCCTATATACCCTAAACTCCCCAGCTGTAGTTTCCTTTAACTGTGACCGGGCATGGGAGGACTTACTCCGCTCAGTCCTTGGCTGCGGGTTTCTTGTTTGCTTGGGGCTTTGCTGCGATGGTTTCGATTTAGAGACGGCGACAGACAGTGCGACAGTGAGACGAGGTTTTCGTGTGGCTCAGAGACTCAAATACCCCTTAAACAAGGAATATACCGTAAATCATATTAGGGATCCTACTATAATTTAAGGTATATTCCTTCATTAATGGGTATTGGAGTCTCTGGGTGTTTGGTAAATTGCTCTTTGCCGAGCGTCGGACATTCAATGGGGACCTTCAGTCAGGAGCCGGGCCAGCTAGGCACCCCAGGAAAGCTAAGCTGTCCCCAAATCCAACATGCGAAGCCCTAAACCCTAAACCCTAAGCCCTAAGCCCTAAACCCTAGACAATAAACCCTGAACCCTAAACCCTAAACCCTATCCTGAAACATGAATGCTGCCTGCTACTACGACGACTTCGGCTTGTACTGTTGCGATGATGGTTATTGGTTACCAGCATCATGTCAGGGCAGACGTCGCGGTATGCAATTCCGCATTTCGTGGGATCTTGCTCAAAACCTCGAAATACAACCAAACGTCACTATACGGATGTATGGGTTGAAGCTAAGGACCATACCGCGGTTTCAGGCCCCAACTTTAAGTACCTTGTCCTAGCCCGGAAGCTGCGACAGGAAAAAGGAGCGGTGCCAAAGCGTGCGCACTAGCATGCACGGCCCCATCCAAAAAACCCCGAAATACTGAGTCCCTATACAAAAACTCTAACCCTAAACCCTAAACTCCAGAGCCCCTAAACCCTAAACCCCACCTGAAGTAATTACCCTCAACCCTGCGCCCCTGAACGCGTGGCCTCACAAATTGTCTCTACCAGGCGCTCAATTGAGGGCTTCGGGCCTCTACACTAAACCCTAAACCCTAAACCCTAAACCCTAAATCCTACACCCTAAGCCCTAATTTTGTGCAGTCCCCCCGATATTGTAAGGGTCTTGTCTGGGTGCCGCTCTAAGCTCCCTGCAACCTCGGAGCCAGGCCGCCCTGGCCGTATGGGTGCAGGCTCTCATCCGTTGGGATGGATCCGGGATTAGGGTTTAAGGTTTAGGGTTTAGGGTTTAGAGTTGAGGGTGTGGGGTGTCGGGTTCGCGGTTCAGGTCACGGTTTAGGGTTGAGGTTTAAGGGTTCAGGGCTTGATTGACAGGTGATGCTGATAATCATGTGATAAGAAGCAGTGATGTCATCTTCACTGACGATACTGAACACGGGTATAGGCGGTGGCGATTGCGTTGTTGGGACTTCTGATATGCCGACGATCGAGACAACAATGACAATGATGAGTGATGACGGTCAGTACGGCAATAAGCTGCAAAAGTAGTGTCTCTTCGCATAAGCCTGACAAGAATGTAATGACACCTGTAATTGTAGTCTTTCACGGTAGCGATGATAGAAGCAATGCCCTTAATACTGGCAACATTAACACTAGCAACACTAGCCAGAGTGATACGAAGAGTGGAGTAAGAACCATTGCGAGAAGAATGCTGGCCTGAAGCATGTCACCGTCTTGGAGACTGGCGCCACGAAGACGAGCAGCATTAGAAAAGAAAGTTGAGTTGACATCTAAATTTCTTCTTTGCATCTTGTTTGTAGATTGACGAATCTTCTGTTCCGCCAATGTACTCACTAACGTTAGTATTTTCATTGCCATGATCGTGGTGTGGAAGATGAACGTCATCATGATAATCATCTGTATCCACCACCACCACCACCATCATTTTCGCCATCATCATCATCATCATCATCATCATCATCATCCTCATCCTCATCATCATCCTCATCATCATCATCACCATCATCATCACCATCACCATCATCATCATCATCATCATCGTCTCCATCATCATCATCATCAGCAGCAGCATCATCATCATCATCATCATCATCATTGCCATCGTCGACATAGTCGTCATCATGCTACTAGTGTTACTTTGCTCATGTCAAGCTGTAGTCGTCACTGTTTTTTGGCGTGATGTTGGCAGTCTCGTCGCTCCTGCTTGCTCATGGCGGCCGAGGACGAACCTGAAAAGCATCGCATGTATTAGCATCTGATCCAGATGAAGAAGAGACAAAACCGAGGAGAGCAGAACGCTTCAGCGTCTTGATGCTTCGGGAAGGCCACTATATAGCTTTTCTACAGATTTACCGGGATGCTGAGTCTTCTTGCAAAGTCGTGACGTTCCCTTGACCGGTCCTTTGGCTTGACGTTGTCGCTTCGGCGAATCGAAGCCTTCTGCCGCAGTTGTCGCCGGAGATCGTTCTGTTATATAACTGTTATATGTATATAGGGAAAGGGCTTTATTTGGTGATGAGCTGCTCAGGATTCTCAATCTTTCGACTGTTGGGCGCACAGATACTTGGGAGCATGCACTCGCACAGTGGTCTTCGTCGGCTGTTGTTGTGCTCGGAATTCTCTGGGAGCAGCTGGGGAGTTCTTGGCGTGCTTGCGGTTGCATGGGCCAATGCCACCCGAGTCGTACTTGACAGGCCCGCTGGACAACCGGAGTCTATGTTAACGTGTGGATGGGACACGGTGTCGCTCAGTGTTCCTTATCTTGGAGATTGCGGCAAACGACCGAGGATTAGAATCTACGAAAGTTTGCATGTATTAGCATCTGACGCGGATGATGCTGAGAGAAGATGTATGAGGTCGCGTCGAAAAGGCTTTCCGTGTGCAGGTTGATTTTGCTCGGTGTGTTGCATTCTGGCGATGAGACTCATTATTGCTTGCTTACTTCTCGGACCCGTACTCGTGACTGGTGTATGCCGGAAGCTGAAGACTTAACACCATTTTCAAGAGTTTGACGGGCGGAAGTGACACGGTATCGCCCAGTGTTCTTGATCTTGGAGATCGCGGCAAGCGACCGAGGATTAGAATCTACGAAAGTTTGCATGTATTAGCATCTGACGCGGATGATGCTGAGAGAAGATGTATGAGGTCGCGTCGAAACGCTTTCCGCCTGTAGGTGTGGCGGCCGTTAGTGACACTTCATGGCGCTCGCATGTGTTATCATCGCACGCTCAGGAGTTCATAATGTCGTTTGCTTGCTATTCACATTTGTCAAGCCAGCCCAAACCCTTACTCTTCTTATGCGCTCCTGCCTATTAGCGCAGCCCTGGGAATCTCTTGACAACCATGGACAGCAGCTGCCATCGGCCTAGTTTTGCTCAGAAGCTCTGCGCCGCTGCAAAGCCCTTATGTAGACCCCTGATAGAAAAGACTAGAATATACTATAACTTTCTGGAGTATGCTATATATAACACACTAGGATATACCATAATATACTCTAGTGTGGTTCCCTCGTAAGGATTCGAGTAGGGAGCCGATTACTTCGGCCCATGGTTCAAAATCCGGCTGTTGAAGCCCTAAACCTAAACCCAAAGCCCTAAGCCCTGAGCCCTAAACCCTAAACCCTAAGCCCTAAACCCTAAACCCAAAACCCTAAATCCTAAGCCCTGAACCCTAAACCGCCTAAACCCTTAGCCCCAAACCCTAAACCCTAAACCCTAAGCCCTAAGCCCTGAGCCCTGAGCCCTAAACCCTTAACCCTAAACCCTAAGCCCTAAACCCTTAGCCCCAAAGCCCTAAACCCGAAGCCCTAAACCCTGAACCCTGAACCCTTAGCCCTAAACCCTGAACCCTAAGCCCTGAACCCCGAAAGCTTGCAAGGCTGACAGAAGATCTTTGCAGCCCTTCAGCAGTGCCAGCGCTGCGGCGCTAGGTGTGGAGCCCAACAATTGCAGTTCCGTTTTAATATAGGGGCCTTAATAATTACTTATACTATTTTGGGGGGTTCCTCCTTATTACAAATATAGTATAATATAGCCCGAAACCCTATTCTAATTATTAAGGCCCCAACATTATGCTAGAAGGTGAGGGGTCTTCTTCGGGGCTCAGGCTTTGGGGTTTGCTGTGCTCGTTTCCGAAAGAAAAGGGGTCCTATTGTTGTCCTGACCATGGACACCTGTGGCAGCGCAGCATTTGAAAGAATTTGCAGGTTATGGCAGTTTGCTCCAGCATCCGAAACAGTCATTGCAGGTAGTCTGCCATGACTGCGAGGGCATTACTGGCCCTGGCATATTCACTTGGCCTGTCTGCCGGTTGGCCATCGTTGTACACGGACTGCAGTGTGTTTCCAGACCTGGGAGAGCCACAGCCGCGGGGGCCGGCCTCTGTGCGAAAGGTGGGCTGGCGTAATCACCCACCCCTCGCTTTGCTGTGCGAGCCTCACCCACCGACAAGCTTTGAGTGGTGCATGGGCCACTGCAGTTTTCGCCAGGGAGAGCAGAACTGCAGCCTAAGCAAATGCACTTGCAAGGAGCACTGTATGGGCACGCAGGATGTCTGCCTAGGTGCCGGAGCACCGCAGATTTCTTCACACTATTCGCTGCCAGATGCATTGGCTGCCCAGCCAGGTCGCACTAAGCTGCTGCTCGACGGTCAGCCAGCATCAAGCTACATGCAGGGTGTGAAATATCGGCTCACTGTTGTACCGGACGGTGACAGTTCGTCTGCATCAACGTGGTTTCTCTTAGATTCGGGCGTCGGACGCTTCTCCATGTTGAAAGGTGCTATCGGCAACTGGCAGCTTAAGTGTGATGGAACTCGAGCTTCTTTTGTCAGTGAGACAAATGCTCCTGTGGACTTGTTCTGGACGGCACCTCAGCACAGCAACGAATCAGTGGCACTTCGGGTGGCTGCCGCAACTTCCATGGGTAATCTTACCCTGAATGCTGCGGTGCTGAATTCCAGGGCCAAAAGCACGCCTCCTCCCGGGGAGATTGGGTACTTCTGCACAGTTACGCAAGCAGCAGAAATCAACGGCACCGGGAGTCCAGTCCCAATGAAGCAGTGCATGACTATGCCAGCTGGGACAGTGGGTGCCTCGTCCAAAACTGACTGTGAAGCTTCGTGCTTACAAGGACGTGGGACCTACTTCTGTGCTCGCTGCTCCCATGTTTACGACCCGGCGAAAGACGGCAACGGCTCGGGCTTTGAAGAGCTACCCGACTCCTGGCGCTGCCCGCTCTGCGGCGCGCCGAAGTCTGCATATGCCAAGCAGCTGACTGAGACGGGGAAGGCCCTTTGGGTTCACACTTACATCTAGGACCCAGAGACTCCCTTAATTAAGGAATATATTTTAAATTATAGTAGGGATCCTAATATGATTTAAGGTATATTCCTTAATTACAGGGTATGGGAGTGTCTGGGGAGTTTTCCACGCAGAGCGACAGCAGGGGTTGGAGTAATGCCCTAAACCCTCAGCCGATGCAACCAAATCCTGTATCGTTTTCGCATCCATGGGAAAAAGATGGTCCACACCAGAGGCCGACAGAGGACACCTTTGCCACACCCCAGATCACGGTGTTACTTGCATGCAGTCTTAGGATTTAGGGTTTAGGGGTCTAGGGAACCAGAAACCCTGAAGCGTCACAAGCTGTGCCACATTGTCGGCTGTGACCTCGTGTTCTCCGCCGCATGAAACTGATGGAAGCAGCATAAGACCCGATCACCAGAACCGCCAAGCCTGCTTGCCGGTTCCGGACAGCAGTAATCTTGAAGGATTTCTTGAGGGGTGTTCCATGGTTGGTGTTCTAAGGGTGTTTTTATAAGTTTGCAGCATGGAGGTTTGAATTAGAAATGATTGTAGTTTCCTCGAGGCGCTGTAGATCCATACGGTGCTATGCCCCCAGGGCCCTATTCGACCAACTCGCACGGATGGTTCTCGGCCTCTTGGAATCGAAACATTTAAGCCTGTAAGCCGCAAAGCTTGTGCCCCTAAACATAGGGGCCTTCATAGCTAGGATTGACTTGGGTACGTATTTGCTTGTGCATATATATATATATACACAGACACACACACACACATGTAGAAATGGACTCGGAAGGGGCTACTATCCCTAAGTATGCAGGCCTTTGCGGTTGATAGTGGATCGTCAGCGGCTACTAGTACTAAGCCGGTGTAGGGTTTAGAAGCATTAGGCCCGATTGAAGCTTTTCCCTCACATGGATGTCTCCAAGTCACCACCGTTCCTTTCAGGTGTCCCTGTTGCGCACACCCTAAACCCGAAACCCTAGACCCTAAACCCTAAACCCTAAACCCTAAACCCTAAACCCTAAACCCTAAACCCTAAACCCTAGACCCTAAACCCTGATTCTTGCAGGCTTGCAGGTACCTAGGGCCCGAAGCTGTAAACTTTATCTGCACCTCCACCAGCAGCCGAAACCCCAAAACCCTAAAGCTAGCCCGGCCTAGATGACCCCTGAATCCTAAGTCCCCCTAAACCATAAACCCTAAACCCTAAACCCTAAACCCTAAACCCTAAACCCTAAAAACCCTAAACCCTAAAAGCCCTAAACCCTAAACCGTTAGCCCGAGTCGAACCCAGGCGCCTTTGCTGCAGCCTCGCGATGGGAGCTTGGGTTGGATCTGGCCAGTGAGGTCTGACTTGGGTTCTGACCTTGGGTCTAGGGTTTAGGGTTTAGGGTTTAGGGTTTAGGTGGGGTCAGGGCTTGGGGCTTCGCATTCTGTTTTGACACGGTTGTATGAGGGGTGTGCGTCTAAGGGTCTTATGTTGGGCCCCTAAACCCTCAGCCCTCTTTGGGAATTTCTGACGTGCCTTCAGGCTGTGTGTCGGACTATGGCTTTCCCGAGGCAGCAAAATTTCAGACAAACCAGATTCTTCTTGCTTTGAACTCAGGGCTCTGGTCTGCAGCCGTTAGATTAGTTTATATAACGTATGGTTTATGTTTCACACATATGTGTGTGTACGTATAATATTTTTATATACATACTGTTATATATATATATATATATATATATGCATATATGCACGCATCTAAACCCCCCAAGAACCGCTGCGAGGTGCCGCGATAGCGCCACCAATCCTCCTACGTTTAAGCTTCTGCATCAGGCTTAACGTCAGGTTTTGAAGTTCCGAGGAGACAGCATATGTTCATCGGCAGAAGCCTTCATTCTGAATTCTTGCCGCCCTTCACGCAGATACTCCGAAAGATGACTTCTCCAACGATGAAAGTCATTTTTGTCCAGGTAGCCTTCACTGTAGATTCAGATCAAGAATGACTGTGCCTTACATTGCTCCCAATGGTGACAGTCGTCTTCCGTTTCATGTTCACCCAAAACTCCAAAACAGAGTCCTTCCAGATTCACGTCTTAGTTCATATGGATTAAAATGCTATGTCGACTGAACCCCATTATACATTCCCTTTCTAATTCTCATATCGACCTGGTTAATATAATAACAAACCTCAGCCTGATTGGCCCCCCGATAGTAAAATCTTGCAGTCCCCGTGGCAAGCCGGATTTTGGATATGGCTCCAAGATGGACTTTCGTCGCGAACTTCATATTACCCATAGGCTGTTCGCATTGGTATTCTTCGTGCTGTACCGGATACTTCCTTCAACATCGACCCGAAAAATGGCTTTAGGAGAAACCCCGACCATTGGCCCCCTTCGACAGCTCAAATGAATCCAGATGTAGCTGTGGGATCCCTGGCACGAGCACTCAAGTCCCCGAAGTTCAAAGTCATGGCATCCTTAATATTATTGAATGTGAATATGAATACAGGTAAGCTGAACACTTGCTTAGCATTGTCTTCAACGGTAGCCGTCACATTCATGCGAATGTAAAAACTACACAAAACGATACCCGTTAAGAGCTACGACCTTTGCTGTTTTCGCTGTGGTGTTGACCAAATGATGGCCCTTAGATTTTTGGGCATGATACCGGCATTGTTTTTTGCCTCATCATACCGTGTATGACAACGCCTTTCTCATTGTAGCATCTGATCATGTCGGACTTGCTGTCGGACTTGCCGGTATGCGTGTATGTACATTTACGTGTGCATATACACATGCTGGCCCTAAGGTTGAACCTGTACTAGCTACCAACATCATGACGAGGATCGTTATCTCCGAACAACATCAACCCTAACCTCATCCTTGTCATTCGGCCTGATGTCAATGGTATTCGCCCTGACAGCAGCTTAAGGCCAAGTAGGTTTAGTACTATCCTGGCTCCTGGTTTGTGGCAAACCTGCAGTACTAGCTGCCTATTTATAGTTTTCTGGTTATTACCTATTGTATAGTATTAATGTTAAGCGGATTCGAGTCCCAATAGTAATGATGCTCGACGAACCTTATTTGCAACAGAAATGCGTAACGCTGGCATTTGCTTGGAAAAGTTTGGTCTTGGAGTGAAATACCAACCTTCCGAAGGAAAAGATGGTTTTGGAACGAAAAACCAACCTTTTCTTGGTTTTGGGCCGAAATACTGATTTTCCTGGGGAAACAACCATAGAAAACCAAAAGCAACAGTTTTTGTAAAACTTTACGGCCAGATTCCGAAAAAATGATTTCTTTGGTTTTCCTAGCAAAAAACGAAACCATCTTGTTCCTAGGAAACAGTACTTTTTCTTAGGAAAAAGTATGGTTTTTCGGCACAAAACCATCTTTTCCTGAGGAAATAATTGGGTCTTTTCGCCCGAAACCATCTTTCTCCAGGAATATTTGTTTTTTTGCAACCAAAACAAACATTTTCGGGGAGTCTGGCCGTACAGCTTCCCAACAGATGTTTCTTTGTTTTGTTTGGGCTTTCCTTAGGCAACTTTCGTTTTTCGCAACTTTCGTTTTTCGGCCCAAAACCATGTGGAAATAGTTGGTTTGTTTGGTCCGAAACCATTTTTGGCTAGGGAAAACCTGGTCTTTGCACCGAAAACTATTTTTTCCTTGGGAAAACTACAAGAACGATCTTTCTGGAGCCTGGCCGCAGAGTTTACCAAGAGATAGTTTTTTTGGGTGTGGTTTTCTTTCGGAAAAAGCTGGTTTTTGATTGGAAGAGTACAGTGTTGCCGTTAAGTGCGTGCTCACGTCGAACCTACACGAGTTGCCTGGCGGTTGGTTTTTGACTGGAAGAGTACAGTGTTGCCGTTGCATGTGTGCTCACGTCAAACCTGAACGAGTTGCCTGGGCGTTCTCTTGAAATGTGAGTTTGCTTTTGGCAGCGTTTCAGAGATACGGATTCCGGACCCGCCGGGAAAGCTGGGCACGGTATTCACGATACAAATCGAGGGTCGGTAGTTACCATATATGTATATATATATATACAGGTATGTATATGCATATATGTATATACATATATGTATATACATATATGTATATACATATCTATGGGCAGACCGATCGATAGATAGATAGATCGATGGATCGATAGATAGATAGGTAGATAGGTCGGTAGATAGGTAGATAGAGATGAATATTTATGTATACATATGTATATATATATATATATGTACATATGTCTCCTTATACGTAGACAATAGTTGGTAGCAAGCTTTTTCGGGCCAGTGAGCATACCAACACCACATCGATTGAAGTCCTGCTGACAACTTTAAACGACTGTGATTTTCGATGTTGGTCTAAGGCTTAGGGTTACCGATGTTCTGAACACACTAGCCAAACCGTGACCATGACAGCCCGAACCACAGCAAAGATTTTGAAACTACTTTGAGACTTGGCCGTAGGCCAAACCCCGAAGCGATAAACATGACAGTAAAAATATCAATAACACGAATCATAATAGTAATCATAACAACAACAGCATTAGTAATAATCTTTCGTCCGAAGCCCTGAAATCTGACTGTAATCCAGCTTAACCCGGATGCAAGCCGTGTCAACACCCGAACGAGAGATTACAAAAAGCAGGCTCTGCCTGGCAACGCATTACCTCGAGATTCCGACAATCGTGGCTTGGGCTTGATGTTGGTTTAAGCCAAACTTTATACATATATATATATATATATACATGTATGTGTTCGCAATCATAATCGTGTTCAGAATCATTATGAGAATCATAATCATAATCATATGAATGATGATCGCAATAGTGATATTAGTAATGTTAAGAGGAAGAATAGTAATATTAATAGCAAGAATAACGATGCGTTGCCTTCGGGGATCGGGTCGTGGGACCGAGTTGCAGAGGAGAGGATTTCGGATCTGGGATAAAGGACAGGGTGTGGTCCTTGAGACGGTGCGGATGTACATGGGGTGCACACGATGTCGGTGATGACGCCGTTTGTTGTGGC